AAATTTTATTTTAAAACTTTTAATTTCAAATACTTTATAAAATATGTTTTCTGTCTTAAATTGGCACAATTTCCTTATAGTCGTTCGCTGGAATTCGTGGAAAATAATTTCTATACGAAAACAAAAAAGAAAGAAATCCAGATCAAACATATACTTTCAAGTTTGTTCGCATAATTCTCTCAAAAAACAAAAGCTTTAAATACTTATAATAAATTCTCTAGAAAACTTTATGCTTATTTTAAATGGCTGGCGTGAAATTCATTAATCATACTTTCGCAAATACCTAAAAAGAGTGGCAAAAATTTTCAAGCATATTTAAACAAAACTTAAACAAGCAGAAAATTATGAGTGTCATAAGTTCGGCTCGGTTGATGGAGGGAGGGTGTGCCTGACCAAAAAGTCAAAACGAGAGAGAAGGAAACTAAAAAAACTCTTTAAGTACATTTTATGAGTTTCACATTAGTTGCAAGAACACCCACTGTGTGTGCTCTATCAAAATATAGAACATGTACAATAAAACTAAATGAAATCAAAATAATAATTTAGTTAAGATATATATGATATTAAGGATCGTATCGGTTAAGCAAAAGGACTTGATGATTAAAACACAATTTTTTTTTCTAAATTTTCTCGAAAGAAGGTTAAGATTGTAAACAAATTTTTTAAGTATATAAACTTGATTATAATTAAAACACTGAAATGAAACTGTATATATATATGTGCATAAACTGAACTGAGAGTTAGTCAAATTAATTAAGGACTTAAACTTTTAAGTTATTAACGTTCTGATTCTTCATTTTCTCGAAAAGTCATTTAAGAGGACTTTTGAAAAAAAAATTACATATCGAATTTTTTTGGCGATATTTGCAGGGTCATATATTGCGACCGAGGCATCTGAACTTGTAATCTACTCTCAGGAACTTCCATTGCAGAATTTAATTACAAACTTGTGATTTATATTGTTGCTTAAATCTGGAATAGTACTTTCATTGCATGCGATGCCTTCTCTTGCAAGCCGATAGAAACTTTTCTATACGTCTACTTCCCTGTTCGAAAAATTTTTTAATGCTTGTCTTATCAGGTGTTTTTATAACCAATCATATCGCGATGTGACACTTAGTTGCTTATGAAATTCTTCGGAATAAATAAAATGTGATTATTTTTGTTTATAGTTTAAATTCGTTTACATATTTTAACGGATTATATATAAATATAAAATATTGTAGATGAACCGTACATTATCACTGCTATCTGCACAAATGTTTGCTGTAACCATAGAAGAAAAAAAAATCTCTCATATAAAAATGTCTTCTGTAATCAAAGAAAAAAAATTGCAAGTAAAAATATTTTCTGTAAGTAAGGAAAAATTCTCTCAAGTTATCCGTATATGTAGCCACAATAAGTGGGTTGGACTTTTATTCCATTTTTCTCGCCTAGAAATCATAATTTTAAGGTTATGTCAAATTTTAAAACTTTATTAAAAATCATTTGCTAAAACTAGAAATTGTTTTAATATGAAATATGAAACCCCAAGCCTATGCTGCGTTTCGGTCATGAATATTTTTGAATTTAATTTACTTTTTATCTGTTCTGTGTGATACGTGCGCATAACGTATGAAATAAATGCCGTGATATTAAATTTCGCTAACGAAGAGAAGAGATATGCTATTACAAGAGCTATAAAAAATATTTCCGTTTTTCCTTTTTTTTTTTTATATATATATAGACAAAGTGTTAGCGGCAAATATATTTATAGCACTATATTAAAAATTTAATAAAATTCTAAATAAACTATTTTTGCAAATTTTTTCTAACGGACATAATAAACTAAGCTTTGCTTGGGATGAAAAGCACTAACAAAAATTTCGTAATGGAAAAATGAACTCATAATGGAGCAAGTTGTATAGGGCGAAGTACACTAGCGCGGTAAAGAAATATTTTCCATAATAAAATTGACTGCACGTTGGCTGAGGCCTCTCTTCTTTGTCATTCTTCAATACACTGTATAGGATTGCGTTAATGTCGAGTTGCGTTTTTAATACTACACTTCTACCTATAGCATCAAATCTGATTTGATAATTGTGGGCGTGCCATCAGTCAATAAAAGAATATAAATAAGCAAAGGCTTATATAACAATAATTTAAATCCTCTTAAGACAGATAAATGTTGTGAGACAAAATTTCATAACAATATCTATGAACAATGTAATATAGAAAATGGTGTAGGTTTCAATACGGACGGACATTTTTAAATATCTCTTAATGCGTAGATTTACATTTCGATGTTACGAACCCACTAATAAAATTAATACACGCATTCTTGCGACCGGAGATATAAAAATTGGTCTAGTTGCTGTGTAACGTCGACCGAAAATCGTATAAATTTCTGTTTTCTGTTGCAACTAGAGAAGCAAAAAAAAACCAATGAGAAAAACTTTAAAAGGTTTTTATACAACAATTTAGCTATAGACTCTTTGTTTGCTGTTCGCACGCGGATGGCAATGAGAAACTTTCACTAACCTTTACAACACAAATCCCATACGTCGGTTCACTTTTAATTTGCGTTTACTTTATTAATACAATCGCCACTCTTAGTCGGGGGTGATATAAAACGTTTTCTATAAAATTTTATGTATATATGTATGGTGAACGGAAATTGTTTGACCACAAAAAACTTTGTTTCCGTTTTTTTTTCTCTAGGCTTATAGTTGCAGTCGTTTCTGAATTTTTTCTTCGGTTTAGTAGCAAATATATGCAAAACAAATAAGAGTTCAAAATATAAGAGCACAGCTGCACTGGTGTATTTTTAAAAAGCATTTTTACAAACAAAAATGGTAAGTAACTGCATTGAAGTGCTTTGTGCTTTGTTTTTATTTCTTTAGTTTTATTCATTTTAGAAATATGTCCATATTAGACAAAAATTCATAGCACAGGATTAAGAGGTTATGTACGCAAACGTTGACTTATCGGTGACATTTTGTCACCAACTCATTGCCAAAAATCTAGGATTGTTCCAAAGTATTATTGGCCATCTCTTGGAATTGCGATAAAAAAAAAAAACTCTGAAGATCATATGAAATAATTTAAGCATAAGGCAAAAATTATTATGATTTCAAAAACAATATTTTCGAGCATTCTCTGCTAAATAACTCTTACGATTAGACTATTGTAAATTATATAAGGAAGGAGAGAGAAAAAAAGAAAGTGAAAAAAAAAGCACATACACATCTGGCACAGAGACTAGAGATTCTTTCACAGCCGGTAAAGATCACAACCATATTTTAGTGAACTTAAACCTTGTAATACGTCATTTTGAGGATTGAACAAATTCCATATCGGAATAGAATTTACGGCTATTGCGACTTAGGTCGGAATCAGCGGTAGAAAGAAAAAACTTTTTCGTCAGCATTGCGTTAACTCATCTACATGTATAAATATTCCAACATGTTCATGTTTAAAAAATATTTTAAACTTTAACTTACATCTTGCTTAAGTTGATTAGGCTTTTGGGATTAAAAGTTTGTCGTCAATTATGGCAATAAAAACATTAAAAGTACACGCACGCATATTCCTACACACAAAGTTAAAACAAAATAAGTATCAATAAAGTGAAAATCAAGTGCTGTCACGATAAAAACAAAATAGATATCTTTATATAAAGTTTTCGTCGTCTATTTGTTCTTTTTTTGTTTTTTCTAACAAAATTTATTAGAAAGTATTTCTACTAGAAATGATTTTTAAATTGAATATAAACACTAGAGTTCTCTGTTTTAAGTATTAAATGAGTGTATCTCAGATGCTAACTCTAAGGCGTTTTAGGCGTTAAGTTTCTCTTCAAATAATTCAGCTTTTTTTTTTTTTATAAAAAAACACCGGAAGATATCTCATTGTAATTAATGTTCATTTCCAGGAATCACCACGAGGAGGTGAGAGTTTCGACACATCAACAGCATATGTTCAAGGACTGAACATGCTGGTGTGCCAAGTCTAGTTCAAATACCTTAAAACATTTCCAACAACCATTAGCCTGACAGCTTAACAATGCAGTTTAGTCAATTGTACATTTTTCAAAATATCAATTGGTTTTTTTTATTGGGTTAAATGATGCTTTAAATAGCCAAGAATGGCATTAAATAATAAAGGTGGGCATGCAAAATTTTAAATGGTTAAAAATAATTGTATGATGGTATTCGGAAACATGACAGCGGCAACAGGATAAATTCTTTTCATTTTTTTTATTCAGATTTTATGTGGAGTCTTCAAAACCAAATTCTCTGGTGAAATACACAGGACACTTCCGATAAATACATTTGAATATTTTCGTATTAAGGAAAGAGCATCATTTCATCTGTCAAAAATTGTATTTTTTTTCATTCAAATACGCGTCGATTAGAGAAAAGTTAATAGTTTTTAAATTCTACATATATTTTAATACGAACAGAAACAAACAAATCTATGCCACGCACGCAGCTTATCCGAATACTATTATTCTACATCCTTCCCTTCTGTGCAAAAAAAAAAAAAAAATCGTCAAAGAGCCCCTGTTCGTAGGATAATTTGCGCGTTCAAACTATCGCTTGCATTTATCTTATGCAGACGCAAACTATTCATTGGCAATTTACACAAGGTTTTAAGTTCTAAGTTGTCTCTGTCTCGCTAACACACATACATGCATGCATGTTATGGCAATTGCTTTCTGAGGTGCACGCACATGTTTTCATCACAAATAAAATCGCATTCACACAACCTTCAATTTTATCATTTATTCTCGTTGCCGGTTTGGCCAGCGCAATTCTGAATTCTGGTTTCGTTATTAGTGCAAAAATCATATTATTACGTATGTTTTTTTGGGCCGTTGAAAACCCAAAAAAAAAAAAATAAGTCCATCTTAAGTCCTTGCGGGCATTTTTATAAGTACATGTTCTGCACCAGAAATTGTCCACATGGTATAAAGACTTAATTATATTTATGTAATTTATGTAATTCTGAATGCTTCTTACCTTCGTATACAGTTAGAGTAGCATCTGCTGACACGGCATCGCCAACACCATTTTCCGCTACGCATTCATAAGGGGCATCGTCACGTCCGGCACGAACCGGCTCAATACGTAATATAGAAACACCACCCGTTTGCTCTAATACAGTATAACGTGATTGGGTGCCTGTCGTAAGAGCAAATAAATATTATTAAGAAATAAATATAATATAAAAAGAAGGAAAAAGCAATTTATTTTTCACATTTGGAAATAGGAAGAGAAATTCTTACGCATATACTTGAGACTTTAAATTTTTTTATTGGAATTAAATTTTCCTCTCTTACCTGACACTTTTTTACCATTTTTGCGCCAAACTATCGATGGTGGCGGATCTCCTCGTGCAGCGCAATAAAAACTTGCCACTCCTCCTACTCGCACGCCTTGATTCTGAGGTTTCTTGATTATTTCCGGTGGATCTATAAAGAGAGAGTCAACCAAAAGTATGGAAATAAGATAAACGGAAAAACAAAGAAATTAAATTTAAATCCAAACAAAAGCATTAACACTGCAAAAATGGATTTTAAAATTAAATTCTCCTCTTCTCAAATCGATAAATACTCATATTGTTCGAAGTGCTTGGCTTAATAGTGAACGTCAAGTGAAAGGAGTGGATACTCAGTACCCAATAGCAGACTTATGTGTGTGTGCCTGTGTGTGTGTGTGTGTGTGTTTTAAATCCATTTTTAAAGAAAACCGACTGTAAATGTTGCTTCGTGACAAAACCTCAAAAGTATTCTGTTTGCATATATTTACATTTGTTTTTCTTTCTTGGTGTTTTCTTGTTTTTTGCTTCTTTCCGATATTATTCATTCACCCTCTGACATTGTGAGTATTATGCTTTTGTTTTCTTTACTATAAAAACAGAAGCGTTTGTTTTTATTTCCCTCACCTCTCTTGTAGTAAGCAACAGCTAAAGCAATATGTGCAACATATGCTCTCTCTCTCTCTCTCTCTCTTTCTCGCTCTCTTTCTGTTTTGTATGTACACATATATGGGTAAAGTTTGTAAATGTGATAATGCTTTTTCTACCGTTTCTTTTTGATTTCGCCTATATACCGACTGCGACAGTCAGAAACGACATTCGTTTGTTTGACTACTGCCGTTAAAGGTAAAGTCAAAACACAAGATGAAAGATATTGTGAAAATATCACCGAAAGGAAAACTGTTTTTATTGTTTCATGGTATTATTTCCAGCAATAGCGGAGCGAAAAGAAACTGTTGTGTATATTAGGGCGGGCAGAAGGTGTTACATTATAAGAGAATGAGAGCAAATTGAAAAAGTTGCTTAAAAAAAAAATATCTTTAGTAAATGATTTTTAATTAAAAATATTCAATTTTGTATTAAGCAGTGTTGAACATTAAAAGTTTCGAATTTTATTATTATTTCGAAGCATCAATTAATTAATAAAATATGCGAGACTGGGTTAATATGTAATTTTAAAGTTTCTTTACTTAGCCTGCAAATGCGGAAATATTTAATATTCTTTTTCAGTTACCTCAACTATGTTTTTTTTTTTTTTTTTTTTTTTTTTTTTTTCTAAGGAACTTACGTGTTAGATATTGTATGTAAGGAAAATCCGAAAAATTTGCATCTGGAACACATTAACAGCAACGTTATTGACTTGATTGATTAATTTTTAATATTATTATTTTTGTTACTCATTTTATTTTTTTTAATATGTCATTGGTTAATATTTTACTTTTTATGTTTTTATATTCTTTTTTTTTTTTTTTTTTTTGTTATTATTAAGTATATGTATATATATATATATATATATATATATATATTGTTTGTAATTACATATTTTTTTACATTTTTTATACTATTTTCTTTTCTGATTTAATTTCGTACCTTCAGCTAAACCATACAATGCCATTGATATTATATATGCAAATAAATGCATTTTTTTTTTTTACATTTTCAAAGAAGAAAAAAAAACAATTTTTCCCTTTTGCTTATATATCAATATGTACGAAAATAATAAATATAATTCAAACAAATTGAAGGCCTCGAATATATTAAATTTTATAGTGTGTTCTACAGTTTTCGTAGTAAAGAAATTCATATAACTTAAACGTATATACGAAAGTTACAAGAACTTGGGATAAAATATAAATTTCACTTGGAAGCCATTTACCGTTTGTTATAAACATATGAACCGGCTTCGAAGTTTTCGCTAACGCGCTCAGGTATAAGCAAATCGTTAGTTTACCGTGACTGTAGATTGAAATAGAAACCAATTCCAGGAGCAAGAATTAGTTAAGCAAAATCATTGCAAGACTGCCGGTGACACTTTGCATCGGTATTCTGTATCCATTTCTTGTGTGAGAAAATCTACAATCGTTCTTTTTCATCTGACAAATCCTCCACAAACTAAGCAAAAAGTAAGCTGCTTCTTCTTAAACAAATTGGACGTGTAAAAAAGGTATTCTTCATGCATCAAGAATAATTAAGTCTGCTAAAGATAATATTTGCCAGAAGTCTTCGGAAAAATAACAAAACAACAGAAAACAATGACTTGTTTTAGCAAATCGACCAATAGGTTCGTAGGATGACATACGGGTGTCAGCAAGTAAGAATCCATTGGATTTTTCGATAGTAACGACATTCAAAGGATATGTGTCAAGATTTAATGACATTTCGGCCATTAGTTTGCACGATACAGCGGTACAGGCTACTTTTCTGGGTGCTTTCGACAGCTTTCGCTGGATGCCCCTTATCCGCTCAACTGAGTGCTGACTCTGAAGTCTCGTAATGAATCCATATTCCATCTCTTGTTACATATCGCATGAAAAAACTGTTTTCATTTTGCCTAAGCATCAACCCGTTGTCGGTTTTGGTCAAAGTTGAGCGGAGGCGATCCCCACGCTCATGTAGAATAAAAAGTACACTTTTGATACCATTAAGGTGTCCGCTATTCCACGCAACTTCAGTTTTCGGTCTTACAAAACGCTTTCGAGTCTCTTTTTATGATTTCTGGAATAACTGCCGAATTCGCGGCTCATGTGAAATAGAAAAACATAAAAATTTCCCCAGAATCTTTTTATATAGAGTTATTCTAAAGTAACGTAACTATTTCCCGGCTTCAAATTCCTTTTCTTTTTTTTTCTTCTTAGTTTTTGTTCAAGCTAACATTTATCCAAACTTGACGGTCACTGCACAAAAACTCTTCTCTTAGAGGAAAACTAAGGATTAAAACAGTCGGCATTGCGCCTTTTAGTTACGTGCGTAACGTTATGACATTCTTCAATAAAACAATACGAGATAGACTTAATGCGAGTAATAAGTTTACTATGATTTTCGGCTTAAAGACTTTTCGTCAAAAATAATTGCGTTATGATCTCGATTTTTGCTCTTTTTTATTGCATCTACCTTATAATTTATAGAGAAAAAAATATATCATTTAGATCTCTCCACTCATTTCCTCTGATAATATGCAAATTTCGTTTTCTTCAGTTTTTCAATTTATCCAAAAAAAAAAAAAAAAGAAGAAAAAATTGCACAAGAAGTGAACATAAAAGCGGAGATGTGCAGATATTACGAAAAACCATCTATGTGGACAATATATGAGTTGAGAGGTAAGAAAAAAAAAAAAAACCGAAAAAATGAAAATTTATTTGCATTCCCGCATATTAAATGATGATGACAATGCGATAGCAACATGACAGTGAAATGGACCAAAAACGAACGTTAGTTCGCCCCGTAATATAATACATTCTGCTTTTTTTTTCATATTTTTTTTTTTTTTTTTTTTTTTTTATGTCAGCAAACGAACAAAACCGCAGAGAAACCTGAAAAAAGATAACCTGGAAAAATGGTGGTCTGCACGGTAAACTTTGGTAATATCAAAAAGGAATAATTATTAAGGTCATATCTGTGAATACTGTTTAAAAATTCAAATCAAAGCATTGAATTGTAAGGAAAGTTTAAGCTATCGACAATAGAAATGTATTAAGCTGAACCTTATACGGGATCATTATTAGTAAAATTTTTAAAATTTTGCATTCATCAAAAAAGAGTTTTTTTTATCGATGAAATTTTTCTATAGAATTTTCGTTTGGCAAACTTTTTAGATGATTACTTACTACAATTATTTAAAATGGCAATATGTATATGCCAATCCTTGTCGCTTAAACTCTTCAATCGATTTTCGTTTATCGAATCTTTTGATATTTCCATCATCGACTGCAATGTTATAAATTCAGCATATAAGCTTGAACAGGCAATAACTGTGTAGCTCGCATAGACTCTAAACCGCACACTTACATACATATAGTATATCATTATTCAACGACATCGATGTTAATTCTGATATTCATTACCGAAGAAGGAGGGCATGTTTATGTCGTCTTTCTTGTTTGACACTCCGAGCATAGCTACTTTACCTCGAAAGGATTTGAATCGATCTCGAAGTGCTGTGCTGTCGCGGTTCGTTGCACAGTTAGTGTAACAGATGCTAATATAAAATATATAGTAAAAATTCCTCCTATAGCTATATATAGTTAAAGGATACCCTTGATCAACTGTTATGCCACACTTATTGATGAAATAGTTTCCAATATTTAATGACAGCTTTGTGGTGATGGGTGTCATTGATTCGCTACGAAGGCGAATATAATATTTTTACTTCTTTCAAGTTTTATAACTTGTCTATCAAGCATAGAATGCTTAAAGAGGAATTTCTTCAATCACATCATCACTGTTCTCTTTATCTCAGCCACATTAACGTTAAGCTTTCTTTTGCATTTCGCGTTCTGATGATGTATAATGAAATGAGATAGTTTTTTTCTTGTATAGCTATGAAAATATTTAGTGGTTTATGAGCCATCTTTGAAAATAAAATGTGAGGCAATTTCTGTACAATTGATTACCATATCACTATTGCCTTCGAGCTCTTATTCTTTTTTATTATCACGAATTGATATTAAGTCGAAAACTACTAAAAAGCTATACTTGACGTAATTCGATTGGATATATGCTGCCAAAGTGATTGCCAGTCAAAATAAATCCTTCCTCTATATCTATTCTTATTATATTATGGCGATATGACATGGTCTTCTTTATATATTATTATAATTTATATTCTTGTGTCTGTCTGTTTTCCCGGTGTTGAAACTGCAACCCACTTGCGTTCGTAGGGCGCATTTTTTGAGATATGTTGATGAAATTTTATTTGCTTTCGTTTTCTGGCTCAAGGACAAACGCTATTGAAAGTGATGCAGACCGAACTACTTTTTCGATTGCTTTCCCTGTAGTAATGCCTTACTTCGAAAAGTGATTATATGAATCGTTATAGTTAGGTTAGCAGGCCTGCTGTATTGTTTTCACTTTTTTTAAATTAAACAATTTTAATTTAAATTCAATGCAATCTATCCCGATAATCCATCATAGCTGCTTATTAAAGAGAAAAAAAAACTTGTAATGTAAACATCATCAAAGTCATCACAGATAGTGTTAATGTTAACTTTGACTGACATCGCGAATAAAGAGGAAAAGAGAAGAGATATTCAACTTCCATATAAATGGGTGTTTAACCTTTCATAAATATTGTTGCTTAAGTCAAATTAAGATAGAAGAGATAAACACTATGAAATGAAAAATGATTAATCATAATTAAAGGAGAAACAAGGCGGAGAAGTAACAAAAATTTATACAAAAGTAGCAAAAGCAAGCTGCAAGTGCGTTGTAATCATTTTTTTAACTTAACATTCTTGAACTTTTTGTTTTTGAAACTTTAAATATTTAATAAAAATTTTCAATTTTCAGCTCTTTTAACTATACTATGTTTTTTTAAAGCAAAAGCTGCTGAAAGCCAGTAATACAAAGCATTATTGCCAGTGTATTTGAAGGCTTACGTATAACTCGACAATAACAAATATATACATTTTATTATATACAGACTATAACAACACACACACACACTGCCGAAGAAGAAACGCAACTGCAATATGGTCTTACAATTATTACATTACCAAGAATGTATAGAAAAAACAACAGTCAGAAAATATAACATATATACAAGTAGGCGTTCTCTCTGTGTTTCTCTCCTTTAATGTTGGCAAAGCATTGTTTAGCTGTAAAAAAGAAAAAAAAAAAATTTTACGTAAAGGAAAAAAAAAAAAAAAAAAAAGAACAGAGAAAACTTTGAGGTCAGAAACTTATCTATTTTGTGGCTTAATCTTGTAAAGTGTAGCTTTACACCCATCATAGTTACGAAAGTTCATACAACTGAACTGAAATCTAAATGTTTTTACAGTTTTCGCAGTTGTATGGGGTGAAAAATCTTTTCTTTTCTAGTTTTTCTGTTTGGTTTTCGAGGTTATGTTAAAATGTTGATAATGGTTGTGAATGACAGAAAAAATAAGCCAATGTAATAGGCAGTATTTATGCATGCTGGCAAAAGTCAACAAATATTTGTTTACTCTGCACCAGAACGCTTATTATTTTGCTTAAGTGTTTGCATAACATTTAAAATGATTGCGGATCAAAGAAAAAAAAAAAAAAAGAAAAGAAGAGCAATGAGAAACTTTTGTTGTCTTTATATCTTTATATAACATTTGCGATACATGATCTGTTAATCGGTTCTACTAT